ATATATATGTGATATATATATATATATGATATATATATATATTTGATATGTATATATATGTGATATGTATATATATGTGATATGTATATATATGTGATATGTATATATATGTGATATGTATATATATGTGATATGTATATATATGTGATGTATATATATGTGATGTATATATATGCTATATATATATATGCTACTATATATATATATATATATATATATATATATATATATATATATATATATATTATATATATATATATTTTATATATTATAGTATATATATATTTTATATATTATATATATATATTCTATATATTTATAGTATATATATATTCTATATATTTATAGTATATATATATTCTATATGTTATAGTATATATATATTCTATATATTTATATATATATATATTCTATATATTTATAGTATATATATATTCTATATATTTATAGTATATATATATTCTATATATTTATAGTATATATATATTCTATATATTTATAGTATATATATGTAATATATATATCTATGATATATATATGTAATATATATATCTATATATATGTAAATATATATATATATTTATATATATTATATATATATATATACATATAGTATATATATATAAATATATATGTATAGTATATAGTATATTTATATTCTATATATGTATATATATATATATATTTGTATATATGTATGTGCGTTTGTGTGTGCGTGTGTGTGTGTGTTTGTGTATGTGTGTTTGTGTATGTGTGTGTATGTATGTGTATGTATGTGTTTTTGTTTGTGCATTTATGTTTGTGTCGATACATATGATTTATTTATCTTTTTATATATACAAATCTTTATTTTCAATTACAGGTATCAGCTGCCAGAGAAGAGGTGCCAGGTAGAAGAGGTTTCCCAGGTTATATGTACACTGATTTGGCCACCATTTATGAACGAGCTGGGCGAGTGGAGGGACGTCAAGGGTCGATCACTCAAATTCCCATCCTTACTATGCCAAATGATGGTAAGTATTATTTCTGATATGTTATATAATCACTGTAGTACTTAAATGTTCGTTAAATATTGAAAAGTAACTGATCTTTGTTTACAGAAGCTATTTACTTTCCTAATTATATATTTTTTGTTATTGTTTGCCTGATTATGGCTGATATTATTAAACTGCCTTTCAGATATTACACATCCAATCCCTGATCTGACGGGATACATCACAGAAGGTCAGATCTACGTAGATCGTCAGTTGCACAATCGTCAGATTTACCCACCAATTAATGTGCTTCCTTCATTGTCTCGACTTATGAAATCTGCCATTGGTGAGGGAATGACCAGGAAAGATCATTCAGATGTGTCTAATCAGCTGTATGCCTGTTATGCCATTGGCAAAGATTTACAGGCAATGAAGGCTGTTGTAGGAGAAGAAGCATTGACCTCAGATGATCTCTTGTATTTGGAGTTCCTTGCCAAGTTTGAAAAGACCTTCATTTCACAGGGACCCTATATGAAACGCACCATTTTTGAGTCTCTGGATATTGGTTGGCAATTACTTCGTATTTTCCCGAAGGAAATGCTTAAACGTATCCCTGCTGCCACCCTTGCTGAATTTTACCCTCGTGATCGTCCTCAGTAAAGGACTGACAAACCATGTCAGTCATTGTTAAGTTGTCACTCATTACTGTTATCATTCACTGGTTGTATAATTGTCATCAGGCTTGAGTTATAAGTATGTGTAAAGATGAGTTTTTTCTTTTTCATTTTTTCTTTATTTGTGTGTATTTAAGAGGGTACTTAAGCATAATTATTCTGAAAATATTGTGCAGAGACTTACATATTAAGAAATATTAAAGATTGATACAGTAGGCTGTTATGAATTTGCAATTATTGGTAAGAATCTAGAAACTAGAGTTAAAATAATATCCTAAGATAATATCCAAACTAATCTAAGTAGCTGGGATGACACTCAACTAATTTGGGGATAAGGTTTATCATTATTGTTCTTTGATTTTTGTTAGTATATGGAAAAGTTGAGTACAGAATGTCTATCCATCAGTTTGTATATGTATATGTACTTGTATATGAACATTATATATATATATATAATATATATATAATATATATATATATATATATATATTATATATATGTATATTATACTTATATATGTATATATATACATATATATGTATATATATATGTATGTATATAAATATGTATATATATGTATATAAATATGTATATATATGTATATATATATGTATATATATGTATATACATGTATATATATGTATATGTATATGTATATATATATATATATATATATATATATTGTATATGTATATGTATATATATGTATATGTATATATATATGTATATGTATATGTATATATATATGTATATGTATATGTATATATATATGTATATGTATATGTATATATATATATAGTATATGTATATAATATGTATATGTTATATATATATGTATATGTATATTTATAT